TTTTTTTTTTTTTTTTTTTTTTTTTGAGACAGGGTCTTGGTAAATTGAACCGAGATTGAGCTTGTGATCCTCCTGCCTCAGTTTCTCAGAGTGCTGTGATTATAGTACTGAGATTACTACCAGTTTCTTGTTCATTTTTTTAAAGTCAGTAACACGTGACTTTTACATTGAGACAACAAAGTGGTGGCGTTTTCACCTGAGTGGACAAAAATTTAAGTGGGAGGAAAACACCCAACAAACTTCAATTTCATTATATTTATTTGTAACACAAGAAAAATGTTTCTACTGTTTAAAGCAAAATAGCTTTTAAAACACTAACTTGTTTTAAAGTTGAAACTGGAAATTTTTACATAACTTATAATTAGTCCAAGAAGAAATGACCAGTTGTCTAATCTGGGCATGTTAACACAAATGACTCATTTATGTTTTCTACTATTGGATCGACTTGCAACTTGGTAAAATAAAAGCATGTAATTAGTGAAAATAGGCATACTTCCAGAACTGGTATACAGATACAATGCAATCCTGATTAAAATCCCAGAAGTATATTTCACAGAACAAGAGAAAACAATCAAAAAATTCATGTGGAACAATAAGAGACCTAGAATAGTAAAAGCAGTTTTAAGCAATAAAGATAAGGTAGGGGGTATCACAATCTCCAACTAGAAACTATAATACAAAGCTACTGTGATTAAAAAAAAATAGCATGCTATTGGCAAAGAAACAGACCCAAGGATCGGTGGGATAGATTAGAAGACATAGAAACAACTCCAGACATTCTCAGCTACTTCATCCTTGACAAAGGAGCCAACCATCCTCAGTGGAGGAAAGACAGCCTCTTTAATAAATGGTGTTGGAAAAACTGGATCTCAACCTGCCAAAAATTAAAAGTAGACCCCTATCTTTCACCATGCACTAAATTAAAATCCAAGTGAATTAAAGATCTAAATATTAAAACAGAAACACCAAACTTGCTAGAAGATAAGTGAGGTAGAACTCTCAAAGACATTGGAAAAAGAAAAGACTTTATGAACAAATCCTCAATAGCATGGGAACACAAAGAATGAACAAGTGGGATCTCTTCTTATTAAAAAGTTTCTGCACTGCAAGAGAAACCACCAACAGAGCTAAGAGACAGCCTACAATGTGGGGGAAAATTTTTACCAGCTGTTCCTCAGAAAAAGGTCTAATATCTAGAAGATATAAGAAACTCAAAAAAATCAGACCCCCCCAAATATAAAGACCCAATTCAATAATGGACATGTTAAATAAACAGACATTTCTCAGAAAAACAAGTACAAGCAGCAAAAAGAAAAAGAAAAAGAAAAGTAAAATGTCCAGCATCACTGGTCATCCAAGAGATGCAGGTGAAAACAACACGAAGATTCCACCTCATCCCACAAAGAATGGCTGCTATCAAGAAATCAATAAAAAATACTGGTGGGCTGTTGGGAGAAAGAACCCTTCTTTCTCCATTGCTGGTTGGAGTGCAGACTGGTGCAAGCACTGTGGAAATCAACATGGAGATACATTAAACACCTAGGATTAGAGGTTCCATTTGACCCAGCCATCCCTCTGCTGGGTATCTTTCCAAAAGAGTTAAAAGAATCATACCACAGTGATATATGCATACCCATGTTTATAGCAGCACAGTTTATAATAGCTAAAACTTGGAAACAGCCCAATTGCCCATCAACTGGAAACCGAATAAAGAAGATGTGGGTTTTTTTTAATAAAATGGAGTACTATTCAGCCATAAAGAATGAGAAACTAGAGACCTTTATAGTTAAATGGAAGCATATTGAGGCCATACTCTTAGGTGGAATAAATAGGACACACGTGTGAATACCAAGTAGGTTCTCTGGTGTGAGAAACTAAAAGTGTAAATAATATCCAAATGGTATAATTGGCAATGTGAAATAGGAAGAAAAGGTCTAAAGGAGTAGGGGAAGTGGGAAGGGTAGGGGAAAGGAAAGAAGGGAAAAGAAACAATATGAGAAAAGGAAAAAATGGAAGCAAAGTCTTTGTAAATTGGGAAGGGTGGAGGGGGTGAAGGGAGGGCAGGGGAATGGGGAAAAAATAAGAACCAAGATACATCATGTAAAGGTACAAGATCCCAATGATGAGTGTAACTGTATTGTATACCTACAATGTACCAATAAAGTTAATGAAAAAAAAGAAAAGAAAAGCATGTCTTTAAGTGCCCAAAGGCTTGGCTGACTGCTATGTGAACCTCTCCTGATTTGATGGCTACTCTGAACACCTGCCCCTGGATTTGATTCCAGTCTAATAAAGCAGAGGCAGCTGCCAGTGAGAGATGCAGAAATTGTTGGAACGCCCCCCCCGTCAAGAAGTGATGAAAGTACTAACCTCTAACCCCTCCCAAATTCCAGAGCCTCTGTTCCCCTATATTCAGGCACCTATGTGTTAATTCAATCCACAAATATACATGGATTGATGACCAAGATGATAAATGACACCTTTACTCGGATGACCAACCTGAATAAATATGTTTGTCTCCTTCACTTCCTCTCCCAAATTCTCAGAGTTAACTGAAGCATAGAAGGGACTGCTGTTAGCATCTACCTCTCTGCTTTTATTCATGGTGCCACTGATACCACATGACCTGAGAGATGCAACCTGTCGGGCCTCTCATTTCTAGCCTCTCCAACTCCAGGGGACCCAGGAAGAAGCTGAACTTATTGCAGAGTCACTTCCTGCCAGTCAACCTTGGTGTCTTCTCAGCTAAATATATGCCCAGGCCCAAAGAACAATCCCCACTGACCACACTAAACTTACAGAAAGCTTTATATTAAAGTTGTGTTCATAAATTTGTTCATTTTATTGATGGATTGATTGATGGTACTGGGGATTGAACCCAGGACCTTGTGCATGCTAGGCAAGTGCTGTATAAGAACTCAAACAGCTGGGCTTGGTGGTGCATGCCTGTAATCCCAGCACTCGGGAGGCTGAGGCAGGAGGATCACAGTGAGTTCGAGACCAGCCTTGGCTACATATAGTGAGTTCCAGGTCAGTCTCAACTACATAGTGAGATAAAAAAAAAAAAAAAAAAAAAAAAAAAAAAAAGAACTCAAACAATGCAGCAGCAAAAACAGAAAACGAAATAATCAATTTTGAAAAAGGACCTAAATAGACATTTTCCCAAAAAAGACAGAAAAATGCCAACAGATGTAGAAAAAATATTCAATAAGGAAATGCAAATAAAAACTGCAATGATAAATCACCCCGCTCCACTAAGAATGGCTGTTATAAAAAAGACAAAAGATTTTTTACTTTTTTTTTCTTTTCTTTTCTTTTCTTTTTTTTTTTTTTTTTTTTTTTTTTTTACGGGGATTGGATTTTGCTCTTGTGAGGCAGGTGGCAGATTTTTTTTTTTTTTTTTTTTTTTTTTTTTTTTTTTTTTTTTTTTTTTTTTTTTTTTGGTACCAGGGATCGATCTCGGGTCCTTGTGCTTGTGAGGCAGAAGGCAGAACCACTGAGCTAAATCCCCAGCCCTACATTATCTATATTTTGTACATCTAAAAATAAATGATTTATTTTACAAAGGAAAAAGATACATTATATTTAGATCAGATTTGAGAGGATTTAATCAAATATAGTGTACTGAACATATTATGGTTAATTTATGTATCAAATTGATCAGGATGTGATGCCCAATTGTTTTATCAAAATCTATATTAGAGCCTGGGATTTAGCTCAGTGGTGCTGCTGCCTGCCTCACAAGTGCAAGGTCCTGAGTTTGATCCCTGGTACAAAAAAAAATCTGTATTAGATGTCACTATGATAGTATTTATATCTATGATAATTACATTTGAATCAATTGACTTTAATCAAAGCAGATTATTCTGCACAATTTGAGTGAGACATAGAAACACTGAAGGCCTTAAAAACAAAAACTACAAAAAAACGTTTCTCAAAGAAGAAGGAATTGTGCTTTAAAACTGTAACATAGAAATTTTCTGAGTTTCTATCCTGTTGGCCTACCCTGTGAATTTTGGAGTAAAGCCTGTAACATCCCACCTGAATCTCTAGCCTGCCTGCCTGCCCTGAAAATTTCAGCCTTGCCAGCTCCTTAGAAGTGTGTCTGTCTGTGTGTGTGTCTGTGTGTGTATGTTCTGTTGGTTCTATTTATCTGAAACCCCCCAATTTGGGTACTGAGAATGGTACAGTGGGAACATAACCATAACTGTAAATTTCAG